CTTTCCTAGCTAGAACAAATACTAGCCAATGCCTCCAACGTTCTGATATTTTAAATCCAATGCAAAGTTTCTTCTCTGATGATATCTTAATGAAGACTGTCATCATTCTTCGCTATAATATATAAAAATTTACAACGGTAATTTTTCCCTAATATAAAATGGCATTTTTTCAGTTTTGCACAAGAATGAAAGCAAGAAAATGCATGAAGTAATCTAAGAAAGTATTTTTAACTAGAGTAAACACTTTTTAATTATACGTAACAAAACATTAACGTATAAATTATCAAAATTAATTTGTAATAAAATATGAAATAATATTGCTGTAGGTAACTGGTCGTAACTCTTAAAATCTTTATCGACTTCTTAATGTTTAGAAATACTGTGTTAAAATTCAGTGTATATTTTTAACACGGAAAATTTTTATACCTCAGATATTACGAAGAAACAATAAAAATATCAAAGTTACACCTTTAACAGGATAATTTTCTAGAGACTTTTGGCTTTCCGCTTTTGGAGCAAGAGAAGTGATAAATGATCTTTGCAAAAAAAAAAAAAAAAAAAAAAAAAAGGCACAGTTCTACTAGGCCTATTGACGAACTTTAACTTGCATTTTCACGTCGCAAACGCGCGAATTAAGATGCATCGGGTTTTAACAAAAATTTCCCATTACCGCAAGCATCGTTAGTGAGATTGCTGCGATATTATCCACAAAGAGTATCTGGGAAAAGGTAAAACCCTCGACAGTAAGTGTACAGGATGATGCTAGTCCATGTTGACGCTACTATCACGGAAAAACGTCGAACTGAGTTTCCGCGCAAAAAGGTAATATTCCACCAAGATAATGCAAAACTACATGCACGTATTCGAATTGGAGTTTTGCATACCCATCATATAGCCCCGACATCGCTCCTTCGGATTTCTACCTTTTTTACACATGCAACTACATCTTGCTGGTGCTATCTTCCATTCTGTACAGGACGTCTGAAATGAGGTTGACCTGTTTTTGGACTCGCGGGAACGAAATTTCTGGGCCGAAGGCTTTGAAAGTCCAGCAAAACTTTGGTTTGAAAAACCAGCAAAAATCATAGATTTGTTGGTAATTACTACCCACATTAAAAGTACTGCTTCATATTTTTGTTTTCTAACTTTATTAAGAACGTTTTTTGGCGGAAAACGTTCGTTACAACCAGATATATTAGATTTGTGCATTATTCTAACATAGGTATACACATAAAATCGGACTTTTCTGAAATGACATAGAGATTTTTTTTCCATATTTCGAGTCTATGACTCAAATTATGCCAAAGTGCCAAATTTTGTAAACATCACACGAGCAGTTTTTAAAACATTGGCTCTCAAAATTTTAGCTTCTCAATGTTAATTGAATTTGATATATATTTATTGATACTTTTTTTTTAAACTTTCTTGATTCCTTCTTTCCCAATTCGAAATTTAGGTGCAATCCAAATAAAATTCGCAGATATTTTGTGATTAATTTTTTAAAATTTGTGTTTTTTATTATTTTTTATAAGTTTTTCGACTTAGCACGTTTGAAATTTTTCATATTTGTTGCAAGCGATAATAACGCCAAATGTGGTTTACGCACTTTGTTAAATTTATTTGAAAAAATGAACAATGCACCTCTTTTTTTCTGCTCATGCATAATGAAAGGGAAAGGAAAACAGTTTGCGATAAATAAAGACTTCGCCAAGTGAATTAGTCTTGGTAAAAACTGAAAAAAGTGCGCCAAAATAAATTTGTAAGTTTTTCGTTAAATTTCTCATTGTTTTTTACAAAATGTAATATTTAGACATAATTTGAGTCATAGAATCGAAATATGGAAAAAACTCTATATGCCGTTTCAGAAAAAGTTAAATTTTTAACTTACTTATTAATTTTAATATATTAAGAAAGATAGCTGGAATGCACAACATTTTATACATACTCATAACATTTTTAGGTTTCGAAGTAAAAAGAATTCTTTTTGAAACCATAAGCACTTTTTTAATATTTCGGAGTTTGATTTGATACTAAAATATTAATAAAATACTTGATATTCAAATATTAAATAGAAAACGAAGCAAAAACTGGTTAAAAATAGTTATTTCGAATAAACTTTGAACATAAAAATTTTATGATTCTGGTACTTTCGCAGACATAATTCTTATGTCAGAGTGAACGAAGGAACAAAAGGAAGGAAAAAAATATTTTCCGAATACTGAACTTTTATGCATCATTGTTGAATTATTTGAGAACACATACAATGAGAGGTAATGTTTTATAACATTCCTGCTATCAAAAAATAACATATGTTGCCATAATATATTTATAGAAAGTGGTTATATCCATCAATAGCAAGGTATTCATTATTTCAATCGTTGGAGCATAAAAAACAGCTACGGACTTTAGCTCTGGTTTCCTCCGTGACAGCGACACATCAATTCGCATCCAACCTCCAATTACAGTTTGAAGCCATCAGGAAAATGATGCGAGGATTAGTGTACCATCGACTGGGTGCGGCTGGCGTTGTTCTTCCGTAAATTATCTCTTGCTTCACTAATAACAGACTTAAAGACTGCAAGAGGGAATTTTAAAATTTCTGAATCTTTGCACGCCACTCTTTAAAGGAAAATACAGCTTAAAAGTATTTATAAACGTAATTAAAAAGAGTGAGAAAATTATAATGCACTTTGTGGAAGATTAATGCCTGCATGTGGTGAGTAAGTTACACTGCTCTTTCAAATTATAAGTTAATGAGCTCTTAACTTGTCAAAGGTGATTGGAGAAAGTGCAGCGAACGTTCATGTCATACTTTTCACCTGAATTGTTAAACAGCTTGTAAACTAAATTAATATATTTTACATTTCCTGCGTTAAAACAGTTAAAATAATTTAACATTTCGTCTAGACAGGTCATTTGTTCAAAACCTGAATTCATCATTATATTTTTAAATATTGCATTAAAAACTGAAATATTAATCTTTAAGAATTAATTACCATATTAATAGTTTTACACAGATTTACTCAGCAGTCATACTAATATTTTTATTTTAATATTTTAATTAGTCATATTAATAATTGCCATACTAATATTTTTACGCAGATTGTATTTATTTAAATTGTGTATATCTCGTAAGAGGATTTATTTCTGGAATTCCACGAGATAGAAAGGAGTTACACAGTTGAGCCATAAAACTGATATATTTATATTTAAGCTAATTTAAATTGAAGATTTAAAAAAAAATCTGGTTCAGTAAATTAATATAGAAGCTAGCGCTTTACAGTCGTGGTTGAATCGTTACCTTTTAACACGCTCGCTTCCGAGCGACATTTTCAAAAACGGTTCCACCACGCCAACAAAATTTTAATTAATTAATTGTAAAATAAAAATACAAAACATGTATTCACAGTAAAGATACTGAATTCAGATAATTTTTTAATTGCTTTATTAATTATACGAGTTTTATTGTAGTCGGTTGTTGCGATAAAATGTGTTATGACAGCGCCAACTACGAATTCGTAGTTGGCGACTACTTATAACAAAGATTGATTATTTTTACAGCAATTATTATAATTAAGGTTATTATGAAGTGCTTGATTATTTTTACAGTTCCTTTGTTATTTACCTATAATTACTTATATTATACCTATATTAATTATAATAAATCTCTTGAATCCGCCAAATTGTTGTGTTGTTTTTCTAATCCACAAAGCCAGATACCTTCAAAGAACATGAAAATACTACGAGATTGATCGGACGTGGCGTAGGTGAAACTATGTTTCTACGAGTTAACTCGTAGCTCGCGCCTAAAGACAAACTTCGACCTACTAGAAGAGTTTCAAATCCCACGAACCCCGAGGGTTTTTGTGGTTTTCTCCATGTGTAACGTGTATACAAGCTAGTTTCGTTTAGAAAGTCCTCCACGAAGCATTCCTCTACTTAGGTAGATAGCCCTCGAGGCTCTGCCGTAGTCACATAAACCAAACGACCTACGAGATAACTCGTGGTAGCGAACGTTTTAATTAAACCAAAAGTACCTCAAATATTTTCATAAGAAGCATGCAAGATAAAATCCCTTTTATTTGAAATTGTTTTCGGATATAAACTAAACTAAATTATTTGGAATTTATTGGTGAAATCGTAAATCGTTAAGGGTTATGAAAAATAAGCGATAATGAAGGAAGACATCAATAAGATATTATTTCACGAAATACCTTCGGTATAATTTAGCTTTATGGTAATGTGTCTCTTTATTTACAACACATGACGAAGATTGTAGCATTAATGGTAAATGTAAGTTATTTTGTAAGCTATGAATACTGTATAGAATTCCATTGCGTTAGTTTATAAGCTATATTGGCTTAACCAATTCCCTGTGAAAGATCCACATCTTAAATTCCACACGCAGTAAATTATCACTTTATATTTCATTCATACGTGATTATCAACCAAGTAGCAGGCTGAGATTGGCTCATACAGTAATGCCACAAACAATTTTCTCACCATTACTAATAAAAATCAAATACTCTACGTGTGCTACCTCTTAAGTAACGTATGGCATATCTATTGTTTGCATCGTTTCGTAACACGATTCGATTGTTAACTATCTATCTAGTTTCACGGTCTGAAAATGGCATCGCTCAATAGTTGGCATAGCAAGAAACGTTTTTTACACCACTAAGTAAGTATATTTGAAGCGAATAATAAAAGAGCAGTAATATTTACACTATACAAGATTTCAGAAAAGATGAAATGTTCCACAGAGTTAGGAATGGCATTATAAGATAAAGTCTAGAAATACTATCTTAAATCTGAGGATATTAAACCTTAATTTACTGCAAAAAAAATTTAATTTAAGCTGAAATGTTCTCGACGTATTGTGCCTAATTTGGTAGTAAAATTATGGAATGATTTTGCGCTGAAGTACGATTTTGCAATATCTATGTTGGTATTAACGGAATGTGCTTCCAAATGATTGCTGATAGTAATAAGGTACTCACTTGTTCCTGAGATTCTTCCTCAAGTACTAACTTAGCCTCCAGACTTTGTCGTGTTTCTAGGAAGGCTCGTCTTTGCCGCCTTTCCAGGAAGAAATATGATAAAGTTCCCAGTAGGTTGGCGCACACAAAAAGGAGAACATTGGCGCCAAGCTGAAAGAAAGGTGATTCATAATGAAAACGTTTTCTTTTCATTATTATCTGTACCATAGCATAAACGTAAATACATAAAATTATAAATTTTAACTTGAGAAAGACTATTTTTATAGGCAAAGACTGTACTGTAATCTACACATATATAAACTGTGAAATTTCTTTGAGAAAATACCAACAAAAGAATAAATAAATCATAATTACTATTAGCGTAAGTTAGCATTTTGAGAAATGTATTCAACATTTTCAAGACAGCCACTGATTAAGTGTAGAAGAAAAGTCAATGCAAGTCTTTTGCCACCGATTTTTAGATCAATGTGACAGACTGTTGATACAAACCAATAGAAAGAATAATAAACGGTAAAATTCAGCATTTATTTAGAATTAATTTTAAAAAGAAAGGATGCTTTGAATACGCTTTGAGACACAACAATACTGTCTCCTTTTGTTAACGCCCGCCAAGAAACATTTGCCGATTGCATATGAGTTAAACATATTAAAGTTTAAATAACTTACACGATTACGTGGGAACATAAGTGTAATCTTCAGATATCACAGCACCTTTTTGAAGCTAAAGATGTGTAAATAAATAAAGCAATTTTTAATAATTTACTGTTACTAGGCATAAAATATTCAATATTAGTGAAAATATTTTCAGCATGAACGAAATGAATGTTAAAATTCTGAAATAAGAATTACAGAATCTGCAAGCTGTTTCTATGATTTGATCCTGATATTTACGAAGTCAAGCAAATGGCAAATACAAAAAAAAAAAAAAAAAAAAAAAAAAAAAAAAAAAAAAAAAAAAAGATGATGTTTAAATAACGTAAAATAGTTTTATATTTTGTTTTCTAGAGAATCATTTTTACACACGCTTCTTTTTTCTCAAATGCTAAATACGAAAGATATTTGAAAACTATTGTGCCCTCTCCAGATTCTACATCAGTTAATACTTTTGATATTCTTTGAAATTTAAATTAAGTATTTTTTTATTATGAAAACATCACTTCCCATTTACACTTTACGAATAATGGTGAAATGGAGATTGACTATCGTAGACAAAAACTCGGCTGAAATATTGTCAAAACTGTGGCTCAAATTCAGAGTTTTAAAACAAATCTGAAAACACCCTTTTCCACGGCTAAACAGCGTGATTTCATTTTATATTTTACTGATCGTTTCTTTACAAAGCAGTATTTTTTGAAACGCATAATTAATATTAAATAACATTTTGCAATTCCTATAGCGAACAAAACTTGTCTGAATGCAGATAATCATGCAGTGTATAAGTTAAAATGCAACTAAAACTTACTTGATTCTCAGTGAAGTCAATGGGTTTAGGCAAAACTCCTACAAGCAGTAGATGCACGAATGCCATCACGATGCTGAGAATGAGGCAGACACTCAACCTTAGGGGTAGCAGGAGGTACACCATGTATGTGTAAAGAAGGGCCCACGCCACCGAGTCACCAGGCATGCGTGGTACGCTGTACAACCACATATCACAGACCAGATGCCCTAGCTGAATGAACCAGGCTACGAATGGGATACTATCCCACAACCTGAGACACAGAAAAAAAATATGTTTACATAAAATAATTGCTTTACAACATTGATTTCAAAGACTTCATTTATTCACTACCAGATAAATTTAAGAATAAATCAGGTCACAAAGTGTATCAGTTAACCACTCAATGGTGACCAGAATTAATGCATATAATTGAATTCTGAAGGAAAAACATATTTTATAATGTTGATGTAAAAGCTTTCGTGCCTAATGTATTTCCTGTTTCAACTAGATAGATGTTCTGTAACCAAACCATGCTGAGAGTACCGAAATTATGCATAATATTGGTGGCAATACAGATAATTCTGAAATTCATACTGACCTTCTCACATCAGCGCTGGATCGAGATTACAATGTCATAATACCGTTGGGAGAACGCGGATATGCTGACATACGGTCCTATGTGTCATACCGAAAAAGTGCTAGAAGGAGAAGGATCATTTATAATGCAAAATACACTCCCTAAGGTACTCTTTCGTAACTTTCATCTGCAAACTCTGTCTTTTGTAACTTTGTCTTAACCCATTTTTATTTAGAGCATCATCTTACTCACATTTTAAAGAATATTGAGCAGTGAAAAAGTAAAATGTAAAACTCTGAAACAGAAAAATAATGTAAAAAGGATTTTTAGGCTCCTTTTGGATTTATTAAAGATTTTAGATTAATCTGAACCAAAGGATTATTTCACAACTGAATTGTTTAATGTTACTAGGATGAACTTTGTGCTCGTAAAAATGTGCACGACTGCTTTTTAAGAGAAACTGTAACAATACAATAAAATAATAAATATTAATTATGAAGTAGATAAGATTAATTTTTAATGAGACACAAAGCCAATTAAAACATTAAGCTATTTTTCAGTTTTTCTTAGATAAATGCATTTGAATTGCATTTTTTTGTTATACGTATTTAACACTTCATGCAAATTTTGCAATAAAAAACGGCTTTATGAAACAAATTCACATAGTATAATTAGAGTAACATTAATTACCAAAACATTTGCATGAGTTAATGCAATACAATTTGTGTTAATACTCGTTTCAAATGATATTATAAGTTTAGGGACTATGAACAAATTGTGTAAGTTGGTATCTAATTGTAGGTTATAGAAAGGTCATTAGCCTCTGATCAAGTTAATCGTAAATAGCAAATTTCTTTCGAATATCATAAAATTATAAATTTAGATTCTGAATTAAAAATGGTTCCGTTTAAAAAAAATTATATTCAGTTAGCTTACGGAAATAGCAGGACAAACGAATACGAGCCCCTTTAAGTTTCTGTCTAATGTTGATGATTAAAACAGCTAAGAAAGCGAAAATATATAATTACACAGCAAACACTATTTAGAATTTTGGAATAAATTCTTATATGATATTAGAGTTTTATTTCTGGAGCAATCTATGTCCAAAATGAGAAACAGAATTAACTTCGTAAATCTATTTAATTATGTGTCAATCGACTGTTTTCATGCAGTTTAAATCCATCAATAACCTTTCCAAAATTTCAAGCGCAAAGTCTCCTTACCAACTGCTAAACTTTTGAAACTTTCACTTAATTATAGAAATTCGATTCAGAAACACATCGAACAGCTTGTGAGTCCATTTTAATTTCAGCTAAACTCGGGAATGCATTAGAGAGTTATTTGTAAAATAAAATTAGAACTACTGATAATAACTTGAAAATAATACGAAGAAACAGACCATTAACTATAATAAAGAAGCAAATAAATTCATAAAACATGGAAATTAGTTCAATGATCTAAGTCCAATACTTATAAAATACGAGAATAAAATTTCAAATTATACGTTTTAGAGAGAAAGAACGTGCAAAATAACTACAGAATTTCTTAAAAGGAAAAAAAAATGAATCGAAAGAAGAAAATTGGCTATTTGATAGAATAAGATATTTCTGCATACACCTAGTAATTGCTTACTTAAAAACGTAAAATAGGAAATAAAAAATAATGCAAAGAGTTCTATTCAGTTAAATTCAAATAGTGTAAAATTTTAGAGTACAATCACCGTGAAATAAGAAATAAATATTATACTAAAAAGATTTATCTAAAACATTATTAAATATTAGTTAATAAATGTAATAAAATACTTTCATTTTAAAGAAAATGTACACGACGAAGAATTCCAGAAACAAAAGTAAATTAAAGTCATAGGTTTAAAAACTGAGTAGTATTAGGTTCAGGAAATGTGCAGTGAAAATGCAGGAAATAAAAGAAGAAATATTTCAAAAATAGCTACAAAGAAAATCACTGAAATAAAAGGACACACAGCAGACAAAACTGGAAAAAAATGAAAACTGCAAAAAATATAAAGGCTAAAATAACAACAGAAAAAAACTTTAATTATCACTTCACGGATAGTAGCATTAATGTTCTGTTTCAAATGTATAAACTTTTATCAGGTGGTATGAGATATTTTGTAAGGTTTATCCTAAGTTTTTAACAGTCATCTGTAGTTAATTTCCTGTCCCTCTCAATTTCAACTTACAAATTCCTACCAGAATGTGTTTTTAGAATCGCTTTTAATGCAAAATGAGTAAAAGCGGTATTTAAGTCGAAGTTCTACTGACGTCGAAGTTTGAACTGAGTCTACTGACGATTGATTTAAGTCGAAGATTTTAGTTAGAGAGCCAGAGTGTCTGACTAGCGCGCGTTCACTTTTGGGCTACACTCTCTCTAAGCTATTACCACGCTCGGCCATATTTCAGGCCCTCGTTAGCTTCGCCAGCTTAGTTGACATTTGGAAGCCAACTACTTTGAAATCTTGATAGCTTCGGCTATATCTTTTTAGTTATGATTTACTTCTTATTTCTTTGAGTTCAAGCCTAAGTGGAGGCTTTGCTGTACGCTCTGAGAAGGAGCCACCTGTTAAGTTGTTATTTTGAGAAATAAAGGATAATTAACCCTTCTTGAGATTTCTTCAGAGAAATTCAATTTGATCCTTTTTATAGGTGAAGAATTATATCAGGCGCAGAAATAACTTTTGAAATTATCATGAAAAATATGGCACTGATAGTAAATACTATTAGACACTAAGAAGAGACAAAAGAAAGAAGATTCGTCTTCGGATAAGAAGAAATTTCACAGCAAATCCAGAATATTGAAAAAACACAGAGCGTATTTCCTACAAATATCTTTACGGTTAAGAAGGCTAAAAAAAGAGTATTATATGTGACTCTAGGATAAATGTAAAATAAAACTGTAATTCGCCACAGTAGTTTGAAAAATATCCATTTCATGCACAACAGTACCTTGAGATTATATTGCTTGCTACAGAATATTGCAATACATAGCTTTTCAGATTTTCGAGGGTAATGTAGTTTTCATTAGGTTTAATTAACATTTTATACTTCAAAACTTTACATACAATGAATATTTGTTACCTAACTTGAAGAGACATTAGGTTTTATGGAAAGCAGGAAATGATGAAAAATGAGCAACGCCTTCGCCGGGAATCGAACCACGGACCTCTGGAATACGCGCTCAGAGTACAGACCACTACACTACGAAGGCATGCTAAGAAGGCGGGAGAAATACTTTATAAACCAATAGAAGTACAAAGCTGAAACTAGGTTCTGGCATTGGATACAAGTGGTATACAACATATGACTTGTTTTTAAATGAGTCCAAAAATTGGAACGACATGCTCATTTTTTGGACGTTAAAGTGATCGAAAACATTTGATGAAATCGAAACAAAAGATGAGTGCAATGATTCGAGCAAACGAAGCTCAGCCAATCGAAATTATAATTTCATGATGGTGACATTAATTGATGAACTTGCAAAGCTTGTACTCAAGATGTTTCTGAATTTAGTATAAATTTCCTATATATCTGTAAACATATTTAAACGCTGACTGTCTATATTTAGAATTTTAATCTTTCGAAAAGCGGTTAAATGGGTTCTAACATCTTAACAGTTCTAAATGCCTTCAGAAGTAGTAAAATATTCGTCACCATTTAAATTAAAAACTAAAAATTATCATGCCATTTTCGTTAGAAGTAAAGCAACAACAAAAATAAAATCATCCGAAATATTCATTTGCAGTAATGCATTCTTAAATTAAGCATACATTTATATTTTATTGAGAAAGTAGAGAAGAATTTTTAAAAGGAATTATCTTTAATTTGCTTCTCTGAGCTTGAGGAATTATCTCTTTATTTTTAATGACCAAAACAAACATGACATAATTAGTTTCTTTATTTCTCTTCTTCTCTAACATTAAAATCCTTATCTTTTTTATTCGGGAGCAATAATGTGTTTAAGAGGAAAATTACAGCAAAACATACAATTATATGCCCCAGATTTAATTTCTTTTTGCATTATGCCAACTCCAATATGAAGGAAAGAATCTTTTTTTAACAAATACCTTCAGTTTGTGGATCTCAGTAATGCATTTAACCAGGATAACGTTAGAATATGGATCAATACAAGACATCTCAAATTGATAATTAAGATTTCAGGAGTACAAATTTTAGTTTGTTATCCTTCGGATCCTGTCTCCTAGAACCCCAATTACTGGAACAAAAGAATCCATTTTAAACGAACAATGTGCTGTTTCGTTTTCATCTCGTGATATATTTAAAATTCATTCTCGGGTACAAAAATAAAAATTTAAATTTCATAATACGTGTCTCGAAACTTAAAGATATTCATTCTTTGAAAGCGTTTATTTGACGAAGATAACATATTTTTCATGACAAGAATTATGAATATATCTCATTTCTAAATTCATAATATAGGCACGAAGCTAAATTAAAAACTCTTTGAAGAAGAACGAAGAATAAGTAATGTGTTTCTAGTACTTTATAACACTTTCAATCAGAAATTAGAGAGTAATTTAGAATGATCGTCTAAATACAAGACACTACTATATTTCTGGAAAAAATATTAAATTAGAATAAACTATAAACAGGATTAAATTGGAATAAACAGGCTTCAAAATACTTGTTGGCGTTCATGGCTCTCTTAGGTACATTTTCTGGGCATATGCGACGTCAAGAACACTATAGTTGGGACAATTAATTTAAAGTAACTATTCTTAATGACGAAAGTCATGCGAATTATTTGTAAATATCTGTAATATTAATTATGTGGCTAAAATCAGAACTATGCAATCGCAGAAAAGGAAATTTTGATGTTCAACATGATATACTTTAGCAAAAAACATTAGTTAACATCGAAAAAAAAATCTTAGATGAATTTTGAACACTAATGTTAACAGCGAAAGTTTAATTTCTTATAATATTCGTAATATTTAATTTTATTTATGAGAGAATGTTTGTTTTTCGTTAAACTAGTAGAAGTAACTAAAATTAGAAAAGAAATGCTCTTTGCGCAGTTTTTTAAATTTTACAAACGTATAAAAATGGACAAATACCAGACTTTTAATTTCAAAGACTACTTCAAAGACTTATTAATCTGTTACACACGTATTTAAGGATGCAGATGTCCAATGTGTAAGAGAGTAGCAAAAATTCAATGTGAATTTTCTGAACGTTTGTTTTTCACGATCGATTCATCGAACAATGTCGAGAGAAAGACAACTATATCCGATAGCTGCAGAAAATAATAATAGATATATAACCTTACGTTACATCCTGATATTCACTCCGTCATTCAGAATGATTAGTACACGGATTCGCTTGAGAGATCCTTTCATATCATTGCGAAGCTTCAGAATACATTAATTTGAAAGGCAAGGTCGCAGTAAAGGAAATATTCATTTGGGAAAAGGTTTGCTTATGCCCCGAAACATCTTAAAAACTGGCACGGAAATTGTCAAGATCATATAATTGCTTCTACGGTGTTTTAGTTCTTCTTCAGATATCTGCAGTAGATGTGAACTCCTGGTAGAATTATGGCTAATCAATTCTTTACAACGTTACCGCATTTAGAAAAACTAAACTTTCCGCTATGCGTAGAACCCCCAGTCGTTTCATGTTTAGCCTGTTAGTAGAATCACGAGATTCTTTGAGACAAACCAAAGAGTAACTAATGGTAATTTGAGATATAGGCAAACAGAGCGCATCATATTTTTTTTGGATGGTTGATTTTGAGTATTCCAATAGTATATCACTGAAGGTAGGTAGCTTTTTGATTTGTAGTTATATTATATTAGCCAGTTAAAACTATTATGTTATTAATTTTGAAATAAGTTATTAAATACTTCCAGGAATATTTTACTTCTTTACTGGTACAAATCTTCTGTAACACATTCCATTTGCACGTAGATGAGAATGATGTTTAGGGTTTAACTTATATCATTTTAAACAACCAAATGCACAGAGAACATTAAAAATTTGACAGTTAGTGCACGAGTCACAATTATATGCAATATTAAAAGATTTTTTGAACATATATTTTCTGTTTAAGGATAATAATATGTATCCATGAGAGGGAGATTTCTTTCCATTCATGCCCAAAGGAATTCAAATGAACCATTGGCAGGCAAATCAAACAAACGTAAAACTTGCACTATATATATATATATATATATGAATATCGCATAGACGTGAATTGTATTGCTTCATTATTTGCTCTAAAGAAATCGAAATTAATATTTTCTCGGTAAGTGAAGCGAATTATGGTATAAAACTATATTTTTAGAAACACCATCATATCGAAATGAGTTAAAACATTAACACTTATATTTAACATTTATATGCCGTATGGATATTTTAAGATATTTCAGGATTCTAAAGGTATATTAAAGTTTCATTCGCTGAATGGTCATAGTCGACAAACCAGAATTCGAATTTATTTCTCTAATAGCTCTTATGTGTTTTGTCACCCTGTATCATAGGATTTGCTCTAAAATAGTGTTCCACTAATTTCGTATTTTTTGTTCTTCACATTTTAGGAACTTTACTTTTAGGCATCAATACAGAACCATGGCAATCAATTATTAAATTTCTGCACTAATAGAAATTATTTAGAATATTCAAATTCAAATCATTAAACATACATACTAAGTTGTTGTAAAATTAAATTACAGAAACCTCTTAATATGGCAATTAACAGGAGGTTCTCACTAAGGAGCTCAATAAACCGGAAACAATTTTCCACTTAAATCTCATTGTTACATAATCAATTCAAACGTAATTATTTATTAGCTTACAAGTTAATTAATTATTAAGAAATCACATAAACAGTTTCGATTAGAGTCTTTCATTCGTAAGCAAGTGTTAAGATCAGAGACTAGACGTTTGAACAGAGAAAGAATACTTAAAACCATTACGGTGTTAGAGGCTAATATTTCACAAAATGTGAATCCAAAGACACCTAACTACGAAAGCTGGAACTGTTCTGTATATTAATCAATTAGCTATACTGTGCATAACAATTAGCTATACTGTGCTATGTTGGTAAGGAACGTTCCTTGAAAATAAACATTGCTTTTGCCAAGAGTCCAGTACGAGATCTTCGAATTGAAATTCACCCGTACAGTAGAATAAAACATGAAAAAAGTATTTTAATTCCTTAAAATAATATGAAATGGGAAGAAATTTTAATTTTACTATCAACGTTGCATGATCATTAAGCAGTTGACGAGTAAAGTCGTAAAACAACTAATAATAAACAGACGTATTACTCAGATGGCAGATGCTGAAAGCCTCAGAGCAAGATGATTTATGCCAACTTAGAAGACTTTATTATCAAATGGCTATTGGATCTGTTAAATCTATGCTAAACTCTTACCATAGCGAAACAGACTTATCTGTTTATAAAAATACTATAAATTTGGAGAATTTTAGATTGGCGAAAATAAAATACATTATTCTTAAGAATTAACTTTACACAGGTTCTCATCAGTTACATAAAAAATATGACTTCATTGATATATTAACTGGCGAAATCATTCGTACTTTACTATGAATTTATATATTGTTTTCCCTTTACTGCAACCAATATATTAGACGACGGAAGAATAAATGCTCACCAGAGAATTATATAATATTGTATAATATATATATACACCTGATGTAAAACTTAATATTCAGTTTTATGTCAGGTACGATACAAAAGTCTTTATATGGAAGATTTGATTTTACAGATTGTTTTGTGACTCTATGTAGATAGATATATTAATGCTGGTAATTTTTACAAAATGGAAAATTAATAAAAATTGATTAATGAAGAAGTTTTTCTTACTTAGACGGTAATTTCGATGAGAAACATCGAACAATGATGAACGTCACAATCAGAATCAGCAGAGCTGCAGCCAAGAATATCACCTGGCCAGATAAAAATTCCGGCGCCCGAATACGGTAAGCTGCGGCATAGGTGACTAGAAGAAATATGTCCACCAGACAGAGAACTAGAAGCAGAGTCTTGGTGTTCCGTCTCTTTTCGATCCTATAATATTCGCGGTACAAACCTTCCGCACTTTTTTCTGCGAAAGCGAACTGGAGACATTGTGGTAAGTAGCGTTGTAAGCCAGATTTGTCGATCTTCAGCTCGGTTTCGCCCCTACTGAGGAAGGAAACGCCTTCTTCACCTCCACTTCCATGCTTCCGTGTCTCCTAAAATGTAATAAAAGAAAATTTAAGCTCATATTTATTTATTTCACTAAATTGTTTGACCATGGATTTGCAATATTCCCAAAATATTTAACTGCGTTCCCAAATAAGAGGACATCCTAAAAACAGTGATTAAAATTTGTTAGGAGCACATAATACATTCAGCATATTGACAGTTGCTGTGTATTTTATGAGTTGCTATTTTAAATTTAAATGCAATATCCGAATTCATTTTAACAATCTAACATTTCAGATTTTAAGTACATAGCAAAATGAATGTACGTTATTACTTTCCTTAGTGGATTTTGATGTAAAAGCTTTAGAATTAAATTGTAACGATTTAAATAAACTATTCAAGAAATATTTAAGAACTCTGATGTAATATTACAAAATAATTATTTCAAAATACATTTCTTAAGCATTATATTTTACAACAAAACATGAGACTCAAAATGTAAGTAATTTTACATACGCGAAGATAAAATAAATTCCGTTTAAATTTCGTTTGCACTCAATTGTGGTATGGAATAATTTTACCACAGTACTGCACAAGTTCGAACTCAGAGGGGAATCAAAATAATAATAATAAAATAACTACTGCAGTGATTTTTGATGAAAAGCGAAATAGAACACAAAGAAATCACGTATATACCTATCGCAAAAATGCTATTTCTTAATTTCACCTACTTTAAAAATACAACTCTAGAAACATAACTGGCGAGAAATAATACAGATCTAGTAAAGGAAACTTAAATTTGCTACTAGATTAATCCGTATATCCCTAATTAATTTCATCTTCAGCGTAATAATACAGAAAAGTGGTAGCAACATCTTCTATACGAGATTTGAAAGATTATCACTTATTCTTCCATGGCAACTCGAATATTAGATCTGAAGTAAGATTATTGCCAATGTCGTCCAAGTCAATCAATTGGTCTTGTGTACTCGACGTTGATGGACTTGCCAAGTCGTTGCCAAGTCCATCAGTGTCGAGTACATAAGACTGCTGAGCATTGGTATCAACTTGGACTAAAATCTCTCGAACGGTTTGGCTACATTGGCACCTTCCTCTTTCAGGCAAAACGCGAACATAAGCTACTTTTAGAAAGTCCTTCATAAAAGCGCCCTACCTAAATACTATAAACCCTTGCATTATAGTATCATAATGCATGACTAGGTGACAACTGGAACACAAATTAATGTTATTAAGGAGTAAATTACATTAATTTCATGTTAATAGTTTTAATAAAAAATACAATACTTTTGTTTAATTTCTTTGCACAAAGAACCTATAATATATTGATGTACTTTAAATATTAAGATATATTTTTTAAGGGTGAGATGGGGTTCGTCAAAGAAATCTTATAGTCTACGGGTTCAGTGAGCTGACAAAGTTTGAAGACCACTGATTCACAGGTATGCAGTTTTCTCTCTTTCTATCCGTAATTAATTAAAACAGCTGATTAAAAGTTACTTCCCCCAAAATAAAATAACTTTAAAACCTTGTAGAGACATTAGGTATTTTTTGGAAGCAGGCAAGATGGTTCAGAGTTTGATCATACGCCCAGCCACTTATAAGAAATTCATTGTAATCGACACACGTATTGGCTGCCCACAGGATTAAGTGATTTCCCGTAGTAACATTGCGGGATTTCTTCGCAGCGACATCAGCTTCATAAAATAAAAAAATTCAATTGCTTTCATTTCCGAATGCATGATAAATGACGAGAAAAAGAAATGACTAAAAGAACAACCAATTTTTATTACTTCCATCTAATAAATAAATAAATTTATAAATAAAAGTTGTAGATCATATACTACATAAACACCAGTATTTCCTTCTTTTCTTTCTTCTATTTTTTATGGCCTTGTTGGCAAATTTGCCTAACAAAGGCCTTGTGTCAAAATTTTATAATATATGAACATTTTCAATCCTTTAAAAATTTTTAAAATAAGCATTTTTATTCCAGCGTTGTGGCTGTGACTAAGGTATTGTTACGGATTTTGAATTTAGTTTGCTATTTTTAGTCGAATTGTAATTAAAAATGCTTTATTTCTCCGTCCAATGCAGCGCATGACGAGTTTTAAGAGAAAGCTACGCCGAAAAAGTAAAAATACAGGAGCACGCTCATTTAACATTTAATAAATAGATATCTCGTAATTCTACTCTTTTGCTTTCCAGAAACCTTGAGAAAACAGAAATTACCAGAACCGTTTCGAGACTGATTAAAAAGCTTTAAAATGCCGGAGAGAAACATCTCAGTTCAGTTGTTTAGATTACTGTTGTTGATGATTGCAGTGAATTCGCGGTGAGATCGGATTAGCTTTCTCTGCGGATTGCGTTCTATTTGATGTTTTCGTAGTTTAAAATATAACTCCTGCGTGATATCTTTTTTTATCGAACTTGTGCATGTCAGGATGTTTCATTTGAGTTCAAACTCCGGTACAACAGCCAGCATTCAGCAGTCGTAACCACTCGGCCCCTGCTGCGGCAAAGATGCTTTCCGATGTCGATGAGAAAATAATCGTTATGCAGATTTACCCTGATTACCGCAATGAGGATAAAGTAAAGAAAGCAAAAGAGTGTGATATTGGCTACTTCACTACAAAATTCCAATTTTTACTTCCTTGTGCCAAGTAAAGGAAGTATTGTAATCGCGAAAAATTTCGGTTATAATATTTCAACGAAAATATCCATTTCAACCGTTCTCGAAACCACTTGAACGCTGATTTTGCGTGACATTTGTATGTACGTACAGAATAAAGGACTGTTTTTGCCAAAAAGGATTGTAAAGTTGATTTAAAATGGGTTCAGAAGAGAACTTGTCTTAACGTCTGTACGTACATACGTAGGGACGTATTTATATCGCATAACTCAAGAACGACTAGCCATAGAATGTTGAAATTTTGTATATGGGACTGCTATTGCATGTAGTTGTGCACCACAGTTTTTTTGTTGCAATTGGACTGCACCAATATATATTCCCATGCTGTTAGCTGGCTCGGTGAGCTCAGTATTTTTATTCTTATATGTTTTTAAATTGTGCATTTTTTTGCATTGAAAATGATTGAATTATGTAGTTTTTATGTTCCCGTTAAGGTTTTTATGCCTTTAGTTAATCGGTATGAAATTGTTGTAGAATTATCAACAATTTAAAACTTAAAGTGGCAAGTTAAGCCTAACGAACCGCCATTTGTTTACATTTGAAACTCAGAAAAATAGTGATTTAAGTCAGTTTCTGCACTTTCAATGTCTTTTTGACGAGTGGGACCAAAATTACACTTTCAGTTTTGTACACCGAAAAATCTGCCTTCTTGCCTGCTGTCGAATTGCTTGTTTTGCGTAGAAACTCTAATTTTAACTGTAAACTGTTTTTTAACTGTTTTAACTGTATTTGGTGTTTTATGTTTCTCTGTATTTTACAATTTTTAATGAAGATGTTTTGCGTTTTTATGTATTTCTTGTTTGCCGCGA